ACTTCCTAAAAAACAATATTTATAATGAATTTTAATAATTTTTTTGAATTTTTTTTAAGCTTTATTCCGACCGATTCACTCGATTCCCGATCCGGATCGCCGATTCGTCGATTCAAATCGATTTTTTGGAAGCCCGATCCGGATCACCGATCCGTTTTTTAAACCATTGCATTAAACCCCTTCTCATTGACTTTGAACCCTAAATCTCTGAAGTCCCAGTTACATCGAAGCTAAACCCTAACCAAATTGCCCTAATTGATTCGATCTAAGGCAAAAACAACTGCGTTGAACCCTACTTTCCATCTTCAGGATGTGGGCCAAATCAATAGACCTTGTTGCTTATCTTAACCGATCATCACCGTCTAAATGAATGGAAGGTTAAATAGGCTGCCGCTTTAGTTATTTTATACTTTATATTTATTTTTTAATAATTATAATAATCAAGGTCGAGATGATCTATTGAAGGTTTTCAATGCGGTGAGTTTTGAGACGGATACGATTTGTGTGAATCCATGTAAAAATGAGTCACCTTTTAAACATCTATTTTTAAGATAAGTTTTTTTGACCTAATTTTTAAGGATATGAAAAATAAATAAAAATTAAAAATTAATAGTTATAATTCTATTCAAAAAACATTTGGATCATTGATTTTAATTCTTTTTAGATGGATCACTTATTTGCTTTATATAACAGGGACCGCAAGTGTAGAAATGCGGTTCCTACAAAACAATTTTCTTCTTTTGGCAGGGCTGCAGCCATATCAAAACTTTTTTGTTTTCTCAATTGGACGGTCGATCGCCGTCAAAATCCACGCCGGACTCTTTCTTGCAATTCTTTTTTTGAAAGGGCAAAAAACCGGCGCGGGCTCTCCGGTCTCCCTCTCTCTAACCAGTTCTGACCCTCTCTCTCTCTCTTAAAGCTTTTATCTCTCTCTCTCTTAAAGCTTTTATCTCTCTCTCTTAAAGCTTTTATCTCTCTCTCTAACCTGTTGTCCCCTACTTCACCATCCCACCGCAGTTCCTCTCGAAGAAAGGGAAGCAGAGGAAGAAAGAAGTAGACAGATAAGAGGAAGGCAGGTTCTTTGTGGTTTCCTTATTTTTCTCAGTAACATATTGGTCTACGTGGCAATGTTCTCACATGGGGTTTCTGTGTTGTTTAGTTGAAGTGGAAATTTTGGGTTTCAATTTCTGTTGTGATTATTTGCTATTTTAACTCGTGTAGCTGTTTAAAATGTTTTTTTGTTAGATTTTATCTCTCATCTCCATGAAATTTCATGTGCTTTTACGAGTGCCGGTGATTGAAAACTTATTAACATTGGCCTGGCTAGGTTTAATGATGGATTCTAACTGTTAATTTTGTTTCTTTCGTAGTCTCTTCTCTCTGGGGACTTTTAGTGGTGCAATATATGGCTTCTTGTGATTTTTATTGATGTCGAACTGTTAACATGGATCCGTTGAACGGGTTGTAAGCAGAGTGGAACAATAATACGTTTAATCCAAGCTCATAAAAGAAAAAAATAGTTTTAATCAAGTTAGAACTTCAACGTTATCCTATTTCTAATAAAAAAATAAAAAAATTAAAGCTTTGCATATGGAAGCTAATCCACAGATAATGCTATTATGTCTTTTATGGATGCTGGCTCTCATCATATCTAAATCTTCTCATTTTAATGTACCTGCATTTCCTTAGATTCTTCTTGAAATTGATAAAATCTAAATGGTGTTTGTTTGTAGCGAGTGTAATGTGTTCCGCTTTTTTGGATAAAAACATGAATTTGATTGAAAGAGAAATGGGAACAAGATGCCAAAATGTCATCAAGGCAATGGCCATACATATTTGTATGAGTTGATATCTTCCAGGATCAATATTTTTAGTCAACTGGAAGTAATTCTGAAAATGGTGAATCAAAGCATCACTTGGTTAACTAGTCAGTTGGCCTTTTATATTGATTGGGTGCGTTCCAAGTATTGCATAAGAAACGATAGATTTAGAGTAACTTGTGTTCCTTTGAACACAATTTATTGGAGATTGAGAAAACCCAGGTGCCCAAAGGACTCGCCGGCAAAGCTAATAACACCCCCTCAAGAAGTGGAAGAAGGTTTGTCTCAAAGATGGAACCATTTTTTTTCTTGTGAATGTTAGCCTCTGTGGTGGAATTGTGTCTATATTCATTGTCTCTAAGCTGATAGTTGGGGTTCCCTTAGCTAATCCGCAAAATTTAGTCGTGGTCTGTCCAGGAGGTGGGGGACCAAAAACTGGAATTATAGAGGGGATGGGCTAGGTCTTAGTTCAAGCCTATTGGTAGAAAGTAAACCAGGGTGGTTGGTTCTTAGTGGCTTTGATTGGGATCAGCGAGTAGATGTCCCAAGAGAGCATAATGAACATGCTCCCCATACTCTTCGACCTATTTATTTCCAAGAGGGATTAATCTGCATGATTTCTTTTTCTTTTCCTTTTCTATTTTGTTAATCAAATATTTTCGGCATTATTTTATCCATACATTTGTATTTCTCTATGTTGCTTATACATGCCTAATATAAAGGCACTTCCTCTTGTTCCTATTTGTTTTTGTTTTGGTAGTATTTTGTTAGTATAGTGGATGCACTTCACACTTATATATTTCACCTGATAATCTTAAATGATTATTTGGCTGTAAGGGGCATGTGTGTAAGAAAAGTGGCAGTTGAGAGAGAGAGAAACCATCTGTAAGAATTGAATATGGTTTGTGCAGCAGATTGGATGAATTTTCAATTTTCATTACACAGATATTACAGACAGATAGAATTATAATTTTAAAATGGACAATCAAAGAACAAGTTTCCGAATGTAGTTCGAATGGGTCAATTACACACCCCCAAACAACAAATGCTATTTCCTCAAATTTCAATTAAGACAAATACAATTTGAAATTTTAATGGCAATATTTCTCATTGTGTCATCAATCAGTGTGTTATATTCTTTTTTTGGTTAAAAAACCACAGAGATATATTTTTTCTCCAAAAAGTGCAGTGAAGGATGTTTAAATTAAGTAGTTTGTACATGGTATAGGGATCTGATATTTTCAAAAACTATACTGGTGGATGTCTAAATCAATAAATAGTTATTACTTGGATTGACTCCAAACTGTCAGTTACCCATATTTAATTTCAACAATAGAGACCTCAATCTCTCTCATATATTTTGGATTTATAGAAGTTCACATTATCATCGAACATGTTAAGCTGACATCAAATTGCTTTAGTTCACCAATCATTACTGCAAAAAAATAAATAGCTTTTCTTTATGCCATTACATGCTGTAATTGCAGGATTGTGTGAGCAATGGCAGTTGGTTCTGAGGAGCAGACACACAAGACTCACAGATCTCGTCAATCGGGTCCCTCTGCAAGAAAAAAAGAGAAATCGGACAAGCAGAAGCGGGGGATTGCTAATGAAAAACACAATCCTAAGGTCGGTCTTTTGTTAGTGTGTGCAATAAAATTTTATGCATGATAAAACGGATTTTACATACAAATTCCAATGCAGGTAAATTCTTTTTTTTTTTTGAAATTGTGCACACTCTTATGAGTTTTGGGATTGTGTTGTGTTGTGCTGTCATCATGGACATGTAGATTATTTTGAATTGTCTGCATTTGTTTAATAATGGTAGATTATTTTTATGGATTGGCTGTTTGGGGTGCTGGGCTTTACAGAAATAAACAACTTTAAAAAATAAAAATTATACAGAATTATAATAATATATTTAATTTCATTGTTTGGTAATTCCATAGATTGCATTGCCTAGCATGTTCAGGGTACAATAAGCATCCATGGACATCCACCTCTCACCGCTTGCCTACAACTCCTTTTTTTGGTTAACTGCATTTTATTAAAATAAAACTCGAGTTTACGAGTATATTGGTATGTGATGTAAAAAGTTGGTATACACCAATCGATCTACTTGGGCTTGTTTAAGTCATTTGGGCTGGTTTTTGAATAGAGGGGGCCATTGAGCCTGTTATTTCTGAAGTTTTTTTACCTCTTTCATCAACCCTTTGTGTTCTGACCTTTGAAAAATATTATATGACATATTGCTTTTGGTCATCAGTGAAGGAAGTTTCGTTATGGATCTGATAAATTATGTTATTGTCAGGCATTTGCTTTTAGGTCGTCAGTTAAGGCCAAACGTTTGCAATCTCACGCATCAGAGAAAGAACAACGAAGGCTTCATCTTCCTGTAATCGATCGTTCTACAGGTGAACCAGCTCCTTACGTTGTCGTGGTGCATGGTCCTCCAAAGGTAATTATTTTTTTTGGTTTTCTTTTCTTTTACATCGCTTCTTCTTGGTCTTATGCTACCTTGTTGTCTTTGTAAATTATAAGGTTTGATGGTCATCTATTGCTTTAGGCCTAAAAAAACCGCTAATGAGAATGCACCTGTATGTTTGATTACAGGTTGGGAAGAGTCTGTTGATAAAATCTCTTGTAAAGCATTATACCAAGCATAATTTATCTGATGTTCGAGGTCCAATCACCATTGTATCAGGTTCATTGTCATTCGTGATGCACAATTCAACTAGCTTCTGTTCACGATTACCACGTTGTGTAGTTCATTGTGGAGGAAGTAGGAGCAACTAAATGTGTACTATAACCCATTGGACTTTGGAAGGCTGTGGCCCATTGGTTCATCACCATCATGTATTGAAATGATGGACGATAATGAAGAGTAGGACTCTCCATTGTGGATGGTCTCGTTCTTGTGGGTCATCCTATCTTCCCAGCCTCCACCATTCATCATTTAATTGGACAGTGATGATGGCATTGGACTGGGGTTGCCATAGTACATTTGATCATAGTTTATTTCCCCTTGCGTAGTTCTTAAAAACTTATGATATACCACTGTTTAAAAGCAATTATGTGTCATTCATGATCTGGGCTTTGATCTGAGATGTCCTGGTCATCTTTTAGCTAAACTAGGTCACTTGCCTGATTTCTTGTGTTAGGTAAGCAACGGAGAGTCCAATTTGTGGAATGCCCAAATGATGTAAATGGCATGATCGATGCTGCAAAGTTTGCTGATCTTGCTCTACTTCTTATTGATGGAAGTTACGGATTTGAGATGGTGAGTCTCATAATTAGCAATTATTGGAATTCGAAACATATGGATCAGTGATGCATTGCTTCTCTTTTTATAGTATAAATATCCCTTTTGGTGGCTGGTTTCAGCCAAATTTCTATTAGCTGTACTTATTTGTACAAGTCAGATCCATCAGATTTATCTGTTAAAATGGATGGTGGGATTGTATGGATGGGTGTAGATACTAAAAGAGGAGGTGTAAAAACTAGCCTGTGTCCCTTTTTTTGCTTTTATGTTGTTCCAGTCTAAGTTTTCTAGAGGTGTGTCAATAGCTTATATTTTTGTGGTTGGGGTGTCATGCTTTTGCAGGAAACTTTTGAGTTCCTTAATATATTGCAAGTCCATGGTTTCCCCAGGGTTATGGGGGTTCTCACACATCTTGATAAATTCAAAGATGTAAAAAAATTGAGGAAAACGAAGCAACGTCTCAAGCACCGGTTTTGGACTGAGATATATGATGGGGCTAAGCTATTCTATTTATCAGGCCTTATTCATGGAAAGTAAGTGACCTTATATATTTGATCGACTACATATTGTCATGCTTTTTATCACATTAATGGTGAGCATCTTGCTCTATTCATATTCAAATATTTGTAATAAATATTGCTCCTTCTCAAAAGGGAAAGTGCAATATGATCCAAAACATTGTGGAAGCCACTGGCAGTTGGGGTCATTAGTGTCCATTGAAATGATGGATGGAGATGGAGGGAGAGTGGAGGCTACCAGAGAAGGATATGACCCCAATGGTGGGTCCCATCATCTCTCCATCACCATCCATGTCAACAAGTGGCAATGACAACGATTGTTTGTGGATTTTCTTCACTTCATGGGATTATGAAATGCGTTTTCCCTTTCCGAATTTATTGTGTTCAATGTGCGCTGTCCTTTATTTAGCACAACATCCTTTCCAGGTACCCCAAACGTGAAATTCACAATCTTGCAAGGTTTATTTCTGTTATGAAGTTTCATCCTTTGTCTTGGAGAACTTCACATCCTTACATATTGGTAGACCGTTTTGAGGATGTTACCCCTCCAGAAAGAGTCCATGCAGATAACAAATGCGACAGGAACATAACATTGTATGGCTATTTGCGTGGTTGCAATTTAAAAAAAGGCACAAAGGTCAGTTTTTATGCAAAACTTTTGATTTGACGGTTTTCCTAGCATTTTCTCTAATTGTTTAATGCAATGTGGTGACAAATGCAAAATATGTGGCCAGTGGTTCATATAATCTTAGTACACTGTTGACCACTTGACCTTGAAGTACTTGTGTTGATGACCTGACTTTCCATATGCATATGAATTATGGAGGCGTCTATGCTTTTGTTACGTTTTATTCCGCTGATTGTTGGTGGGAACTCTCTCGGTGATTACATGGTATGGCTGATCTTCACTTTGACCATGATTGCAGATGTCCTAATGGAGATACCAGAGATTTACCTTACTGAACTATTTCACGAACTTTTTAGTATGGCCCTTTATGTTTTTCTCATACTTGGTTAATGTAACCCTATATTTTATGGTGGCCTATGATGAGGTCTTTTTGGAGGGTTTGCATTGTGTTGTTAATAATTGCCTATTATTAGATGTTCTTCAGTGACAACTTGTTTATTTCCTTGTCTGTTAATTTGTTTCGCTTTTATACTTCGTGATTCCCACAAACTGATATTCCATTCCATCTAGGTCCATATTGCTGGTGTTGGGGACTGCCAGTTAGATAGTGTGACAGCATTAGCTGATCCTTGCCCATTACCTTCTGTTGCCAAAAAAAAGGGTTTGCGTGAAAAAGAAAAGCTATTCTATGCACCTATGTCTGATCTTGGAGATCTTCTTTATGACAAGGATGCTGTTTACATAAACATAAACGATCATATGGTTCAATTTTCCAAAGTTGATGGAGATGATGGAGCAGCTACCAACAAAGGTATGAGCACTGTGTGTTGTTGCTGGGGAAAGTATATTGTAGTCAGGAACCATGGAGAAATGTAGTCATTGGACTGTGTTTTCCATAGTCCATGAGGCTGTGGTATACTTTCCCTTTATACTGTGCATGTCTCTTACTACTTCTAACAATCTCATGTCCAAAGCATCTGCCAGGTGCTGAGTCTGTAATGGCCTACATAGACACAAATTGTGGTTCAATCTTTCCTGATGTTACTTTGGACTGTATATGTTCTTAGGAGGTTGGAGAAGGGACAGTAGTAGTTCTCCTAAATTAATTTTTTTTGGATCTAACAATTTCATTAGCTCAACTGATATTTGACCACCATCTTGTTCAATTACACGGAAAAAAGATCAAACCATGTTGAGTTAACATAGTTTGGCATTCTAAGTTTGTAGTGTAATAAATAGTTTGTTGGGTTATTTTTTGCTTTCTTATACATAGTGTTTTATGTACATGTACTCCTGTCTTTTTTCCAGGAAGGGGCCGTGATGTTGGTGAAGACTTGGTCAAAACACTTCAGAAAACAAAATACTCAATTAATGAGAAATTAGAACAAAGTTTCATTAACCTTTTCAGTAGGAAGCCTTCTATCTCATCAGAAGTCCAGTTCAATTCAAATAATACCATGAAAAATGAATCTGAGAACTTCTATTTTCAAAGTGAGAATGGTGAGGAATCAACTAGCTCCTTGGAGGGAGATGATGTTGAGCAGGCAAATGGCACGGAGGCTTCAAATAAAGAAACCATGCAAGACGGAAGTGAGACTGAAGGAAATGAATCAGATGAGTCTGATGATGAAAGTAACAAATCATCAGAAGGAGATGAGGGATCTGCTAAGGCTTTGAACTCTGACGTAAAGGAAGTAACTGAGTTCCAAAATGGAAGGTTAAGAAGAAGAGCTGTCTTTGCAAGTGATGAAGGGCAGGTATTTCACTACATTTCAATCCTTGTACTAGATCTTCAACATTCAGAATGCAGATTCTTCTTTTTGTTTTTTGATAACCAAACAAAATCTTGAATATTCCTCTATCGTGGTGAAAATTTATAGTTTTCATGTCTCATAGAGACCTTTTATAGTTCCCAAGATGAAATTCATTATGAGGACGCATACTTTCTCTGTTTTAGAAGTATCTAGATACCTATGAATAGACAACATGGTGGATGAGACTCGTGATTAGTTCTTATTTGGGAATTTATGTGCTCGTTTGTTGACAGATTATATATACATGTTTCCCACAACCTACCCACCGCACAACATCTAGTCTGGTCCTTCGTCGTGAAGTAAAATACCCTTAGTATTTGATAGTGCCTTTTCTTTTTTACTTGCTTTCCATCTTTTGGACTCATATCAATAGTGCCTTTGTGATTTTTCCTTAGGCCTAGATGTCTGTCCTTTTTTCATTCTTGTGCCATCCCACCTGTAGTTGTGCTTACAATTGTCGTAGCAATTTAATATGGCACAAAATGATACACTCTCCCTAGTAAGAATTTATTAGACAAGAAAGAAACACTTGCTACATATTGTGGGCTGTAAATTGTAAATAAGTTAATAGTTCCATTGGGTTGTTTACTTGCTTGTCATATTAACTCAATTCCTTGACAATTGTTAAAATGGTGCTTTATTTGAGTTATGTCCTCATTTCTTTAGGGGTAACCTTCCTATGGTTCATCTTGTGGTAGGGTTCAGATAAAGATGATGTAGATAGCGATTTATCAGTGGATTCAGATGACCCAGAGGAGACTGAAAATGACTGGAAGTCAGAAGGTATATTCTTCACGTCCATGTGCAGTTGTATTCAGCAGCGTTTCATGAAAATTGCATGTTTTATTAGTTTTGTGAAGGGGTTCTTCCATTATTTTTCTAGGTAGATGCACGTTAATGGTTTTTGAATTTTTTTCGAATTTTTTTCCAGGAGTTATTTTTTTTGCATTGGTTCATAAATTTTTTTGAATGGATGGATTATCAGTCCATTAAGTCAATACCTTGGCAATCTTGTCGCAAACCAAACTTTATGATAGATCAGAAAATTAAAAAGATAAGTTTAGTGCAAAGTGGAGGTGAAACTGATGGTTCAAATTCAATGTCTTGAAGTTAGTTAGACTTGGTGTTTGCCGAATGACTCATGGCATTGCTTAGTGGTGGGACTGAAATTTTTTGCTGTTATTCTCTTATGTGGATCTTTTCTTTTCCTTTTTTTTTTCTTCCCCTCAATAATCCTTCAGCATTGAAAGAGGTTGGTTTGTTCTCGGTGACTTTTTTTTCTAGATCAAACTGATGATGGGATGGGAAATGCATCCAAGTGGAAAGAGACCTTGGTCTCTAGAGCAGTTTCAAGACAAACTACTAACCTTATGCAACTTGTATATGGAAAGCATTCATCAAAATCAATAAACACTGTTCAGGAATCACTTGGGAGTGGTGACAGTGATGATAGTGAGGATGAAGAATTCTTCAAACCGAAAGAAAGCAGTGACAAGGTAAATTCAAGAGTTATGAATGAGAATGTCATTTTTTTTTTATTGATGACATGCCATTGATCATAACTAGCAGGTTGTTAGCTAGCTGGCTTTATTCGTTTTGAAAAACCAAAATGGCTAAGTTATGAGGTGGCTTATGAAGTAGTTTTGAAGAACCATAACAGATGAGTTGGTTGATCCATCCATGATTAGAAAAATAACTGGTACCAATAAAAAATGGTCTGGACATAAGTATAGCAAATGAATTGAATGGTTGAATTCCTGAGGTAGAGGAATTGATTGGATTGTTGCCCGTCATTAGCAGTCAAATACGAGACTAGGAGTCAAATTTCTACTGCTTGTAGACATTGGGTTATAATGTTTCTAGAAAAGGTAAAGTTAACAAAAATTTCAAGAAATCTAAGTGATAAAATGTATTGAAGGGAAAAAAAATGGACAGTGACAAATGTCTCTGGCATTAATACCATGAATAGATTGTTGCGTATCACAGGGAAGGTACCAAAATGATATCCTATGCATTTCATTCATGACTTCGCCAAAATTTTGAGCATATGAAAGGTGCGTGTGTTTGGCATATGTTTTGGAACTTCCGAACATTTTAGCTCTTTTTTGTTTTTGTTATTGTTTTTTTGTTTTTTTGGTGGGGGGGGGGGGGCATTTTCATTTTTCTTTCTCCATAGTTCCGAAAATTGGGGGAAATATGAAAGCTGCTCCTTTGATCTCACCCCATGGAGGCGGTTCCAAAGATGGGAAAAAGGAAGCCACTCCTTCCGTCTCCCCCCATGGAGCACGTACTTTCATAAGTTTCGACTTCTGAAGCCGAAACTTCTGCCAAACAAACACGCCGAAGAAATTTTGCTGCTCATCATCAGCAGTAATGTGTTTGATGGATTCACATTTTAAGCATGTTGCTGTTTTATATTTGCTTAGAATACAAAATGTGATATTGTAATGGGAAACTATACTATAAGCAAAGTGACCCTGGAAATGCTGACCTACCTCTTGGTGAAGCAAGTGTTTAGGGTTTCAGCAGCTACTTTCCCCTAATGGTGAGACACTCGGTTTGTAGGGGAGAGTCTTAGTTCTGAACCTCCCTCCTGCAAACAAAAACTGACCTATTCCATGACAGAAGTTTCAACATGTCCCTTCCCTTTGTGTCATTTTTAAAGATGCATGTGACTTTGCTGATCAAAAGACAACACACTATTCATCTACAGAAATCTAGTGAGAGAATGGATGTTGATAACTTCAATGCCGAGGATTGCTCCAAAATAGGTGCAGATCAGGTGCTGCGTGATGACTGGTCAAACCAAGATATCATTGAAACCATTCGTGATCGTTTTGTCACTGGAGACTGGGCCAAAGCTGCTCGCAGGGGTCAAGAAGTGGAAGGAAGTGGTGATGAAGATGCTGCCATTTATGGAGACTTTGAAGATTTGGAAACCGGAGAGGAATATGATGGCCAAGAAACTCTTAATCTGGAGGGGGACGCAAAGGTTTCAAAAGGGAGTGATTTAGCAGACGAGGAGCGAAGGCTTAAAAAGCTTGCTCTTCGAGCAAAATTTGATGCTCAATATCCTTTTCCCTTAACATTCTCTTACTGCTGTTTGGAAGCTTTTGATAAGTTCTACTCATAAATCTGCAACAGTGGAAGGGTATATTGCAGACATATTTGACTTGTCTCAAATGTATAGATAATTCTCTCTCTCTCTCTCTCTCTCTCTAGTTTTGTGAAAGTATTGTGAGATTTGAGAACAATGTAATTTGTTCAATATTATGAGACCTTACTTCTGTATATATTTTTTAATATATGCAAGTAAGTTATTTTTCATATTAAAAATTGTATGTTCAAATAAAGATTTTGTATTTTCATACAAAATATAGTTGGCATATTTGCCAAAGATGTGTTACATAAACTGTCAGGGAAATGAAGTTTATGTTTAGCATAGGGATTTTTGTTTTCTCCAGAAATATTTCCTCCCATTTTCCTGTTAAAACCAAAAGTTTTAAAGTGAAAAATTTACTTGCTTGAGAGTCCCAACTGATACTCAAATTGTCCTTCAACTTCTCTGTCTTTTTAGAAAAAGATTTGGCAATGTATTCTAATAAGACCTTAGCTTTGAACCACATATGATGAATCTGAACCAATGGATGAAGAAACTGATGGCAAGAAGGATCCCCAATTTCATAGAAATGGAGGCCAAGATGGTGGCTTTTTAGACAAGGTAAATTTCTTGAAAATCAGAGCATGGTTTTACTGTAGGATTTAGATTAAAATTACTTAGATATCACGGGTTTACTTGGAACTGCTGAAAGCATCTTTACTTGTCTACTATTATTTGCAGCTGAAGGAAGAGATTGAACTCCAAAAGCAGAGGAACTTGGCTGAGCTGAAGGATCTTGATGACGTTACTCGGCTTGAGATGGAGGGTTTCAGAACTGGATCATACCTGAGATTGGAGGTCCATGGGATTCAATATGAGATGGTTGAACATTTTGATCCTTGCCACCCTATTCTTGTTGGAGGGATCGGCCTTGGTGAAGAAAATGTTGGATATATGCAGGTCTTACTATATTTGCATCTAAAAAACCTGGGGGATGAAGTCTTAGTTTTGTTTTTATATTAACTATTGCTTTATATTAATTGCTTGTTAACAGAAATGACTTCTCTCACTAATTATTTTGTCTATTCAGGTTCGACTAAAACGTCATAGGTGGTACAAGAAAGTATTGAAGACTAGGGACCCTGTTATTGTTTCAATTGGTTGGAGGCGTTACCAGACAATGCCAGTGTATGCCATTGAGGACCGTAATGGCCGGCATCGCATGCTTAAGTACACCCCAGAACATATGCACTGTGTTGCCATGTTCTGGGGGCCTCTTGCACCTCCAAATGCTGGGGTTGTTGCCTTTCAGAACTTATCAGAAAATCAGGTATTAAATATATGCCATAACCATGTGTTACTTTCACCCTTTAAAAAAAAAAATTAAAAAAATTGGGAAAAGAATTCAATGAAGAATTTGTTTTTGGAAGGAATTTGAGGGGATGTGACATTTGTAAGGTTGCTTTTAGGATACATTTGGTCTCCTTTACTTCTAAAAATGTATAAGAAGTTGATTGTTTGATTGATCCTTACTGTCTCTTCTACTCCAGGTGGCTTAGAAGCTTAGAGGGTCTTAATTGGACTAGTTGGGTACTGTTTTTTTTTTTTTTTAATTTCTTTTTTCAGTTTGTGCTTCAGGAAAGGAAATTATTAGAGAGTTAGTAAATGTTGTACTGGGACTTGCCCTTGAATTTTTTATATCAAAATGATGAACCATGAGACATGATTTTATTGTTTTTCTTTAGTTATCAATAAAACAAATAACAAATAGATCTATGAGGGTAGGGGGGGGAGATTATGGACTGAGACTTACCTTTCATCCCAATACCAATTAAGGCCATCTTGAAGCAACAAGTTATGATTGCTTTCAGTTTAAATAACATAGCAAAAAATCTATATATTTGTCATCCATAGAACCAGGGGTGGGAATGGATCAGGTGGGGTCCCTGACCTGAACCCTGCCCAAACTAGTTAGAAGTTGAACCTGGACCCGAACCCGGACCCGAGTCGGGTCCGGGTCTATAAATAAAAACTATATACAAAATAATATTAGTAATGTGTATTTATACTAATATATCTTGGGTTGGGTCTGGTTGAACATGACCTGGACTTGAACCGACGACAAGATCTAAGCTAGACCAGGACCCAGACTCGACTGGGGTCTAGTCAAGGTCAAATGGACCCAAACCCAACCCAAAATCTGGGTCCAGACCCGGTCCTAGTCCGGTTGGCCTGTCAGATCCATGGGTCAACCTGAACCAATTCCCACTCCTACATAGAACGTATTTGAATATTGAAATTTGACATGTTAGGGATTTGTGACTGTGGTTAAATGATGTTCATTGTTTCAGTCTTTACCGATTTTGTTTGCTTACCGTTGCCTTCATGTCTGTTTAAGCATCCTTTCCATATTAATGGGCCCTGATGAACAGTGCAAAGTTGGGTAAAGACGAATTCGGTATATAGTATTTTTGGGGAAGTAGAGAACAGGTGAGGGTTTTGGTTGATGTTGATTGATCTCTTAATGGGGTAAGTTTGTCTTCAGGATCTGTTTCGGATAACAGCAACAGCAGTTGTATCAGAGTTCAATCATGCTGCACGTATAGTAAAGAAGATTAAGCTTGTTGGTTACCCTTACAAAATATTTAAGAATACGGCATTTATCAAGGACATGTTTACATCGGCTCTTGAGGTGGCGAGGTTTGAGGGTGCTTCGATACGGACAGTGAGTGGTATAAGAGGACAAGTGAAGAAGGTAAGCATGATAAACTAGGAAAATAAACTTAGCCTACATTTTCTTTTCGCAGCTGTTCTATGGCTTCATAATTTAGAGAATCATGATACTGATTCTAATATTCAGAAAACTTATACTTGTATCCCTTTTTCTGATTTAGTTTGTGATGATTTCAATTTTGACTTTGCCTAGAAAGAATATCCCTGATCATAATGTCAGCAAGAACTGCTTATTAATCACATGGGTGTATTAGAAAAATGTATCTTTACCCTGTTGCTATGTATACATGAGCCGAACGCATAAGGTTGATAATAGACAGACTTGCCTCAACAATTTTGAAATTTACAATGAACATCTTTTTTTTATTCCAACAATTTTTGTTGTTGTGTTTGTAACGCTTTCCTATATAGGCTGTGAAAGCAGGCCAAGGTAAAGATGGAAGCGCAAGGTGCACATTTGAGGACAAAATCCTGATGAGTGATATTGTTTTCCTTCGTGCTTGGACACAAGTAGATGTACCGCGTTTCTTCAATCCAGTGACATCGGCCCTTCAACCTCGTGACCGTGCATGGAAAGGCATGAAGACGGTTGGCGAATTAAGGAAAGAGCACAACCTTCCAGTTGCTTTAAATAAGGACTCTCTCTATAAGGTCAGTTTTTGTCTCCTATTTTGTCATTCTGTATTTTAAACTTACTCGTCGATTTGAAGATCATCTTATCTCAACTATAAATTGGCTTGTGATCTCCTTTTCAATATCATCCAAAAGTTTGCTTTATCCACACAAAAACACATTTTTCAGTGTGTGATTACTTAATCTGACTGTTTAAAAATGATTAATTAAAATATCGGCATTCATTTAATCCTGATGAAGTGTCAATATTTGGAAGTGCATGAATGCCGAATATTTTCATTTATAATGCATTTGTAGTATTTTGTACTTGGATATGAAAACTTCTATTGTGGCCTAGTAATCTTATTTTTGGGATTGGTTCTTTGGGTTGGTGATGGCATTTGAAGGATTTGATTCTCTAAAATGCGTGCCCTTCAATCATGCATTTCATATTGTTATTTTAGTTATTTAACTTAATTCTCTTATTTTTCCCCTGGCACTGACAATGTTAATGTTATCCTTGTGTACAGCCAATTGAGCGAAAACCAAAGAAGTTCAACCCCTTGAAGATTCCCACGGCCTTGCAAGCCGCTCTTCCATTTGCTTCAAAGCCAAAGGATACCCCAAAACAAAAGCGTCAATCACTTGAAAGCCTCCGAGCGGTGGTTATGGAGCCTCATGAAAGGAAAGTTCACGCTCTTGTCCAGCACTTGCAATTGATCAGATCTGAAAAGGTATCCACAACTCAATCCCTATCTTGATTCTAAGATAAATAATGCCGGACCCTTAGGTTTGTTCCAGTCGTACTATTAAATTGGTATGGGCTCACTGGATGGGATGGGATTCCACTTGGAAAAGATGTTGCATACTAACGGATTTAGGTCTAAATCTCTTGCTATCTTTGTGTATATTTTGCAGATAAAGAGGCGCAAGCTCAAGAATGAGGAGAAAAGAAAAGCATTTGAGGCAAAGAAGGCAAAAGATGAGCAGCTGAGTCAGAAGAGGCAACGAGAAGACAGGAAGCAGCGGTATCTTAAGGAAGATAAACAAAAGAAACAAACTCGACAAAGACTCGAGTAGTTTTCTTTTCTTGAGGTAAAAGCATGGGTTTTGAGCCTTTTATGTTCTAAGAGTTTGTTCTAGGAACTTTCTAGACGAGGTATTTCCACTTGTATATCATGATATATGCTATAGTTACCAGAATCGTCGTCGCTATGTAGCTATTCCAGTTCGGAATCACCATCCTGCATTTCTATGAAGGAATTTCCATAAATCCCGATTCCTGGAAGTTAGGAATCATGATTCCACATTTTCTGAATCTCATTATGATATCTTTGGATCTAGATTCCACCACCAAATTTTGTTATTCATAGGTGCACAAGACTGTGATTCAACCAATATGAGACCTCGCTTCTAATTTTTAAGAATAATAATAAGAGATATTTGGAATTTAGATCCACCACATCAAAATGATTGCCATAATTCTATGGAATGCTTTGGAATTTTTTAACATCATCATCAACATCATCATCAACATCATCATCCAAGCCTTATCCGCTTTGGAATTTTTTAAACACCATTTAAAAGTTTTGGTACCTAAAACTTTTTACTAATTAATACATGATGAGTATCTAAAAACTCTATGGGTGTCAACAAATTCTAATTTACATCATTCCTAAATTTCAAGAATTTCTGATAAATGTCTTATTTTTAAAATATATTATTAATAAATAAAGTAATTTTATTTTCACTATTCTATCTATAAACTCTAGGAAAGTACTTAAGTAAGGGTAGTCGACCTTATTTCCAATATTTGTGGGGAATTGTGATAAAAGGCACTCAATATATTGACGCCAAAATTACGGGAGGGCTGTTAAGACATTGATTCTGATGATAGGGGAGTCCTAGGTAAACATACTCAATATATGGAGTTCAATACTGGGGAATTCTTGCTTATAAATAAAATAAAACCTCTAGTCTTTTGCCTTTTGCCTTTTGGGTTTTAGGAGAATCTATAGAGAAAAAATTCCGAGAAGGAAACTTGGTGGTGAAGTGATGAGGTTCAGAAGGCCATTAGTGGAAAACTATCATGTTATACAACGTTGCAATATAATAAAAATGATCAAAACTTAAAAGAATATAAAAGGCTGAGAAAAATGTTAAACAAATAGTAAGGTTAAACTTAAGGCATATGATAATCTATACAATAAACTGGGAACAAGAAAAGGTGAAATAGATATCCTCAAATTAGCAAAAATGAGAGAGAAAAAGTATAGGGATTTAAACTATATTAAATTCATTAAGAGTAACGATCAAAGGGTTTTGGTGAAGGATGATGAGGTCAATGAAAGTTGGAGGGTTTATTTTAAAAAATTATTATATGTCGAACACAATGGGAACATAGTTGTAGAAGGAACCGTTAGTATAAATGAGGGCAGAGGTCATAGATACATTCGTAGGATTAGAATATCAAAAGTGGAAGAAGCTGTGAAGAGGATGTAGATAGGAAAGGCATTGGAACCAGATGGTATTCCGACAGGTTTGGAAGTGCATGGGGGAGATTGGCATTGACTGGTTTACCAAGCTGTTCAATAAGGTGTTGAGAATAAAGAAAATGCCAAACAAATGGAGGAAAAGTATTGGGGTACCTATTTACAAGAATAAATGGGATACAGAATTATCCGAACTATCGAGGGACCAAACTTTTGAGCCACATTATGAAGCTGTGGGAGAGAGTGATTGAGCAATGACTAAGGTATGAAACGAGTGTATCAAAAAACCAATTCGGTTTTATGTCAAGGAAGTCAACAACCGAGGCTATATTCCTGCTTAGGAAAATGATTGAGAAATTTATGACAGGGAAAAAACCTCCACATGGTCGTTATTGATTTAGAGAAAGCTGTGCTTAGAGATTTGATGTGGTGGGTGCTGAAAGAAAAAGGAGTCTCAAAAGGTGGGAGATATGTATAGGGGAGCACTAACAAGTGTATGAACAACTAGTGGAGAGATGAGTGAATTTTCAGTGACAATTGGCCTGCATCAGGGGTTAGCATTGAGCCTATACCTTTTTGTCTTAGCTATGGACAACTTAACTATGCACTTACAAGATGAGGTACCGTAGTGCATATTGTTTGCGGATGACAGTTTTGATCGATGATACTCGAAACGGTGTCAACACATCGATTCCCGTTGGATCAGGATGTGATTCATAAATGGTAAGAATCTCATTTCATGTGATATCAATTTCAAAACAAATCTCACTTCATGTGATATCAATTTCAAAACAAATCTCACTTCATGTGATATGCATTTTATGAACTACAATTTTGACTTTGTGGTCAATCGCGATTTCATGATTCATGTTCCTGAAATGATTGGAATCACATGCATTTCCAACAACCATAACTAACACACTTTTTGATATAATGTCATGCCAATCATAAAGGAAGGTTCTAGGAGGCTATTTCTCAAGAGATTTCAAAGTTTTGGTTTTTCTCTAGAAATTCTTGAGTAAAACTAAAGATTTACGAAAAGGAACTGAATTGTAAAAATAAGATTAATACGAAAACGAGAAAAAAAATAAAAGAAACGAAAACTATTATTTTCTATTAAAGAAATATGAAAGAGATTACGTAAGCTTCATTTCTTAAATATATAGGAAAATATAACTAAATGGTCAAACTACTTGAGAAAATCATTAAGGTGGCCAAATCAACAAATTTAATATTAGAGTGGTTTACTATGAGATCCCTTCACATAGCTACCTCCTAAAAAATAATATTTTAGAAATGCCATAATTGCCCTTGTTTAGATTTTGGAACCCTTAACTTGGGGCATTTCAGTAATTTGGGTTTACTTAAGTGGCTAAAGTCAAATTTAAGGTTAAGAACCCAAAACAAGGATTTCTAATGAAAAAAATTACTTTAATGGCCCTACTTGTTTAATGTTAGGACCCAAATTAGGGGCACTTTTGGCCTTTTTTTTTTTTATAATGTTAACCTTTAATATATGTGAGAGAAAATTACAAGAATCCTTGGCAATCCACAAGTGAGGATACTCAAGGAGGCAAAAAGCAGAATCAAAATCCTCTTTTAAGAGGTTACAGTGTGGCACAACGACCTAGGAAAACAGGTTGATTCGCAAAATGCAATGAAAGGCCAAAAAGCCAAAACATAAGATCTAAACGTTAGCTATTGCCGCTGCTTCTTTAGCCAGGGTGTCAGCGTCCTGATTTCCTTCCCTCCAAGTATGCATCCATGCGACGGACATATTCTTGCAAAGATTGTCAACCTCGTCAAAGACGTGTGTCAGAAACCAAGGAGGGGGTGAGGAAGAAAGAGATTGTGCTCAGGTGATGGTGTTCTTGGAATCTCCCTCCATTGCAAGCAATTGCAGTTGTAAGGGTTGTGTGAGTTTGAGACCTTCCAGGAGAGCTAGTGCTTCAGCCTCCGTTGAGTCGTAGTGGCCAATGTGTTTAGAAGTTGTAGCCACAGTAGTACTGAGGTGGTCTCTAAGAATTGCTCCTATCCCTGACGGCCCGGGGTTACCAAGAGAGCACCCGTCAAAATTGAGTTTTAGGATGCCCGGAGGAGGGGGTTTCCATCAGGAAGCCCTTTGCAGGCACGATTGATGGAGTTGAAGGATATTTGTCCAATCTTCGCTGCAAGCCGAGGCAGCAACTCCTTTGAAACACTGATGATTGGTCACCCAAAAAATTGCCATAGACTTGAGCTTATTGAAAACTTTGTAGCAGGTTGAGAATTCCCCCCTGAAAATTCTGTTGTTGCGCTTGAGGATGGAAGTCACCTCTTCTGGTAGCACCCATTGCACCTTGAACAGATTGAGCATGGAGGTCCAAATGTTAAAGGCAAATGGACAGTGGAGCAGTAGATGGTCATTGGTCTTTACAGCTTCGAGGCACATGACACATCGATTAGGAATTCGGATCCCTCTTCTTTGCAACTGATCAACAGTGAGGACTCTTTGGGAGAAGGCCAACCACATGGAGATTTTGATTTTGGGTGGGGTGAAGGAAATCCATGCTTTGGCTGCAACAGCATTAGGAGCTAGAGGGAAAGTTGGTGGGGGAGAGACTGTGATAGAAAGAGGAGACGAAGCAGGTTCTCCTCGGGGACCGAGACCACATAATTTGATCTTGACCCGATGGGGAGAGGAAGCAAGATTGAAGTTCAGAACACAAGGTGGCAAAGTTTCCAATTTCTAGTTCCGTGAGAGGTCTTCTAAAAACAGGGTTCCAAGAGCGAGATGAACCTACTGGAAGCATTTCTTGGGCTACCGTAGCCTCTTGATTTCTGGCCAGAGAAAAAAGCTAAGGGAATCTATACCTAATAGGAGTATGACCCAGTCAAAGGTCATGCCAAAAAAGGATGTGATTGCCTTCTCTTGGGTGAAATCTTTTGCGAGATTTGAAGGCAAAGAAAGCTGAGCAAATAAACCTCCAAATACCAGATGACCTCTGGTTTGTTCTGAAGTGTGGCAGTCAAGGAGAATTCAGGAGATGGTATTTGTGTCTAAGGATCTCGATCCACAATTGATTGTTTAAAGTAGACAGTCTCCAGCACCATTTACCCAGCAATGCCGTATTTTGAGTTATGAGATTCTTGACTCCCAGGCCTCCTCTTTTCTTGGTCTGATGAAGTTTATCCTAGGCAATCAAATGGAGTTTATTACTTGAGTCATCGCTAGACCAGAAAAATCTCCTCATCAATTGTTCAATTCTGGAGCAAACAGCTACGGGCATGTGGAAGATAGACATTTGGTATACCGTAATGTTGGCAAGAGTGGCTTTGATTAAAGTTGATCTTCCTCCCGAAGAGAGTAATTGCCCTTTCCAACCGGCTAGTCTGCGATTCACCTTGTCTAGTATATGGGACCAGAGGCTTTGTTTAGGTTTGCCTAAGCAAAGAGGTAGGCCTAGGTATTTAGATTGCGGAGTTTCTACCCCACAGCCCCAGCTGAAGGCGAAGTCCGAGAGGGTGTTATAATCAATATTGACCCCCATCGTCTTGGTTTTATCGAAATTGACTTGAAGCCAATTGCAAAGTCAACGCACCTGAGGAATAGGAAGAGGTTTCTGATTTCAGCATGGTCAGCATTGCAGAAGACCAAAGTGTTGTATGTGTATTGTAAGTGGGTTACCATGGGGGCCTGAGGACCAATTGAGAAGCCATGCAGGCGTCCTGCTGAGTACATTCTTGAAATTGATATGCTAAGCCTCTATAGCAAAGAGGAAGGGAGAGAGGGGATCTCCCTGTCTGAGCCCTCTAGTAGAAGGGAAATAACCTTTGGGGGTTCCATTAATGATTATAGAGAACTATGGA